GGTCAGAATCTAGAGAGGCAGCTGGAGAATTCTTAATGTGACCAGGCAATCAGACAAGGTTTTATTCAACCTGTTTTCAGCTTGAAAATTTGGGAGTTTCAAATAATTTTAAGAAATACTTTGAGTGCAAGGCAGCTTGGGCAGCCTTGGAAAGCATTTAAGCAGCAGCATTATTCTAAGGAAGCTGTTCTCTTACTATTTGCACCTTATCAAGGTTTTATGTGTTCAGTTTTTAGAAACCATTTAAAGTCCAGTCCTCAACACTGCACTGATGCAGTGAATCAGCCTGATGCAGTTATGCTAAAACCATTTGCATGCTCCTACTACATTGCCAGGACCTCATGTGAGGGGGATGTAGTTTCAGATGCTGTTAGATATTCTGCAGGGAAATAGTAAGACTCATCTTTAGAGCAAGGGATTGCCAGGTTTCAAAATGAATACCAGTGAATGCTCTAAACTTGTTCTGACTTTTCTCCCTGTGCTCCCATCCCATCTGTGCAGTGTGGGACAGCGCCAGCTGGTGTGCCTGGCACGAGCTCTGCTCAGGAAGTCCAAAATCCTGGTTCTGGATGAAGCCACAGCTGCTGTTGATCTTGAAACAGATAAGCTCATACAGTCAACTATAAAGTCTCAGTTTGAAGAATGTACTGTGTTAACTATAGCACATCGTCTGAACACAATCATGGACTACACGAGGTAAAGTGCTGCTGCTCTTACCCTGCAGACTGTGCCCTGCACTGTGCTCCACTGAAATGGCAATCTCTCTGTTAGTTGGGTGTTTACTGGCTCCTTCTGTGCTGCTTCTGCACAGAGCTGCTGGAATCCCTGTTTTGAGGGGTGGGTGTGTGTGTGTGTTCTGGCTTGTGGCTGTGCTTGGTGTCCCTCTGTCACACTGCTAATGTGCTGTTCTTGCCTGGGCAAACTGGGAAGGGGAGAGAGAGGCAAGGACAGGAGCCTGTTCCTGGGTCTTGCCCTGATTTAGGCACAGACAGCATAGGGAGTCCCAAGGGGCAGATCCTGCTCTCTGAAGTTCATTTGGTGTTCCACTTTCCATCACTTCTGGTTATAGTTCATACAGCCTCCCTCCCTCTGGCTGCCTTGCTAAGGTGTGCTTGAGGGCCAAGCTGTTGTCTCATATCTCAGTTTTAGGCTCTTGTCCCTTTTATCACAGAATGTCAAAGTGACCACTGCTAGGATTGCAGTGTGCTTTTGCAGCCCTCTGTGCTGTCAGTAGTGCCAGATCAGAGGGAGGAGCACTGCCAGCAGGGGAACACCCAGCTCAGCCGTGGCAGTGGTGACACCAGGCAGCAGCCCCTGCCAGGGCCTTGGTGACCGTCTCTGCAGGCCCCTCCATCCATGGGGGAGCTGGGACAGGGCTTCAGCAGGGAGCTGACCACTGACTTGGTGGATTTCCTTGGCCAGCTGGATGTTTTTGTTTGTCACAGAAGCTGTGTAACAGCAGTTGCTGTGGAGAGGTGTTAAGGGAAGGTTATCGTGGGTCTTGCAGAGTCTCACAGGCCCTCACACACCTTGACAAGAAGTGCTGCCAGCTCACTTCTGGCTGGCTCAGAGAGCAGTGCAGAGCCTCTGCAGGGGAGATGGGTAACACGTGCTGTGTCTGCAGATGGCTGGGTGACAATGCACCACACACCATCTGCAGGGAGCTGGGGAGGGACAGTGAGAGCCTCAGCCTGCTCACACAGTCAGCACTGTCTTCACTTGCAATAATGGCTATGCTGCAGTCTCTGTCTGTACACACCTATCCATGTTCACTGGCTTTCTGGATCTTCTTGTGACCTTTTTTCCTTTTTTTTTCCCACTCTTTGTTTTACAGAGTTTTAGTCCTGGAGAGAGGAGAAGTGGTGGAGTGTGGTACCCCAGACCAACTACTTCAGGAAAAAGGCATTTTCTATAGCATGGCCAAAGATTCAGGCTTGGTGTAGCATTTGAACTTGGCTATTTACTGTGGGGAAGAGGGAGGTGATACATTTGGAGAACTGTGACTTCTCCTGAGCTGGACTGAACCACACAGCTGAGTTTCAGACACAGTGAAGTTAGCCAGAGGATGGCAGTGGAAGCAACATAAAGATGCAATTTTTTCTTATTTTTTATTTCTCCTTTGTATTGATTTTAGCCACCTTTAGGAGAAGCTCATACACTGTGGAAGACACTTCAGAGGCTCCCATTTTTTGCCTGAAATCTGTCATACATTCAAATGTACAGCGGAGTGATTCATCAGAGAAATTCAGAAAAGCTTTTTCTTCTCATCTCTTTTATGTTCTGAAGTTCCCTCCCTTTTTTTTTTGTTTAAAACATTTTTGCAAATGCTAGTTATTTGCTTGTTTGTGGATTCCTCATTTCATGAGCCATCTATTGTGGGATGCACTTGGAACATTTTGTGGCATAAAGTACTATAGTCCAAAGATTTTTCTTCTTGTGAAATAAAAGTGTGCCAGACTTTCTCCTTATGGCATTTACTGTACGTGGTTAATGCTTTATGCATTGTCCTGAAGGTTTCACGTGTTTACAGCATCGAGCAGCAAGTTCACTGTCATGTCAGTAGTGCTGATGTGAAGAAGCACAGTCAGCTTCAGAGCAGTGTTTCAGCATGTCTGGGATGACAGTCACTCCAGAACCAAATTGTGCAGCACTTGGTGCATTGCTGTGTGCTGATCTTACCCCAGCTCACTCAGGAATTCCGACTGGGGTGCCCATGCTGGTGACACCTGTGGGGACAAGGCTGAGCAGTGAGGCTGCAGGCTCAGGGTGACCTTGATTGTAACACCCTTGGCTTTGGTAGTTCTGTGCTTTCATAGCAGCTCTGCCACATCAAGGACCATTAGCCTTATATCAAAGAAACATGCCCTTCATGCTGCTGCTGTTGACTCTTAAATTTTGTGGGAAAATGTTCTGTTGCAGTTGGTTTAAAAAAAAAAATAGTGCTTTTAAAGTTTTGTGTTGGAAGGGCCTAACATTTAAAATGGCAATGGAGTCTGCTTTTCAAGATCTATGTTGAATTTTCATCTTTTTGTGGTAAGAAAAAAGTTACTTTTCTAATGTTGTGATTAGTCTTATTTTAAAGGAAAATGCTGGAAGAAAGCAAACTAAGTCAGATAGATCCACATACTCAGCACTGAGAATGTGGACTTCTGTGATTGATATTGCTGACCTTAATACTAGACAATTGTTGTCCTTAGAGTAAAGATATTTATTTTTTTGTAAATTATGACTCTCTGAAATTGAATAGACTGAAAATTTCTTTGGTATTTTTTGTAATGACAATGCAAATATTTGCAAAGAACTTGCAGTAAAAAATTGTTTGAAAGAAAATGTGTTATTTCTTGCCTTGTGTTTGACAAAGGTTTTGCTTTGTCAGTTCAGCTTTTTGCCTTGAGAGCAGAAATTATTGGTCCTGCTTAGACTGATAATTCTGCTTGTCCTGATGTCTGGGCTTGTTGGGGTGGTGGGTAGGAAGCCATGAGTGTAGATAGCTGTGCTGCAGTAGGGCTGCATTGTTTTGTGGTGACAGTGAAGGCTCAGCAGAGCAGGAGCCACAGTGCTGTGGACCTTTGTCACCCCCAGTGGTGCCCATGGCCTGTCTGCCACATCTCCTGAGCTTCCTGTGGGTTTTCTCTGAGGAAATGGAACGAGCAGGGGCTGCCTGGGGAGTTTGGGGATGAGCTGTGAGTTAGTTTTCAAATCCCCAAGCACTGGTGCAGCACTGTGGTGGACAGAAGGGTGGAATGCTTGGAGCACATGGTTTATAGGGGCAGAGCAGGGGCTCTGTGCTGAGGGCTGGGCTGGTGTTGTACACTAAGGTGGAGATGGAGCTCCCTGCAGAGACCTAGGGGAGCAACTGTCCATGCCACTGAGACCCTTTCCTGCTTGGGAACAGTCATCCTGCAGGAACACTTTGTGATCCTCCTCTTCCACCCCATCCTTGGAGAGCCCTGGCAAGGAAGAGGGAAAGGAGCTGCTGTACAGTTGAATTTACTGTATCTCACTTCAGTGCACATTGATATATCTTGGCTGACATTATTACTGCAAGGTGGAAGATTTCTCCTATCTGGAAAAGTTGATTCTGCCAAAAAAACAGCTCAGAATTTTTAGAAGACCTGCAAAACCCACCCTAATTAATGTATGTGATGAGAGTTACTTCTGTAAGTGTTCCCAGTCCTGACCCACAGGAAGATCCTTTTGCAGAGTGACAGTGGTGTGGCACAGCAACAAGTGTGCTTTGGGTCACTGACACCTTTAACATTTTGGCATTCCCCTGTGTCTTGTGACCATCTGGGGCACTGGGAATGTGACTTGCACAGTACATGTATGGCCTGAACTTGGTATAAATCAGTGCATGACACCTTTGATTTATCTTCTGGCTTTAGCAGTTTCAGTATTGCCTTAAACTTGGAATCATGGCACAAGGATTTTCTAAGGTAGCATTTCTCTCCTACATGGTATCTCCAAATGTTAACTCTTTTATACATTTTGCTTTAACCAACTTCCAGATAACTTCTGTGAGACTTGAGCTCCAGATTCATCACAGTATTTGGACATAGCCCTGGGGACTCCAGCACGTCTGAAACATGATGGATTTTTCATACATAATTTGGGGAATTGCTTTTCTTTTGCCTTTGCAGCACAACTTGATGTGTAAAGCTGATGATATTTTTGCTTGCTCTTACTTTGGGTTGGCTGACAGCAAAACTGTGCCCTTTCAAAGGTTACCAGTGTGAAAGTGTTTTCATTATTGTCTCTTGTTGCCTTCCTCTTCGTTACTGACTTAGGAACAGAAAATGAGCATTTAAAGTTGTTTCTATTGGAGACTATGGAATGCTAAAAGGTATCTATTTCAGAATTACCCAGCAACGTGGGCAGTTCTGTTCCTCTTTGCCTTAGTTAAAAAGGAAAAAAGTTAAAAATAAAAAATAATTTTTATTTCAGTATTTCTAAATGCTCCTGATTTTGAGATCCATTGATAAACCTTTGGAGTGGGCTGACAGCAAAACTGTGCCCTTTCAAAGGTTACCAGTGTGAAAGTATGTTTTCATTAATGTCTCTTGTTGCCTTCCTTCTCTGTTACCCATTTAGGAACAGAAAATGAGCAATTAAAGATATTTATGTTGGAGATTATGGAATGCTATAAGGTATCTGTTTCAGAATTGCCCAGTAACGTGGGCAATTCTGTTCCTCTTTGCCTTAGTTAAAAGGAAAAATTTTTATTTTTCATCTCAGTATTTCTAAATGCTCCTGGTTTTGAGATCCACTCTTAACTTGTATCTGGGTTTGGAATTGTTTTGTCTGTGCCCTCAAGTATGAGACTGGAGGAAGTAGAGGGAAGATCATTCTCTCCTGGTACCTGAGCACCAGCAGGCATTGGACCTCGATACCTTGGGCACTTGACCAGCAGGAACTCTGAACTGTCCTTGACTTGGGTGCAGAAGCTGTTGGAGAAGGAACTGCTGGGTTTTGCCAGTCTGGGTTCATTCTTGCAGCTGGAACTCTCCTATCCCCTCCCCACTGCCCCTTTCTGTGTTATATTTGCTCTAGTTTATTGAAGAGACCTATTTAAATACTTGATTCTATTTTTATTTCAGCTCTCTAGAAAATGGGATGCTTTAACAAAAGTCACAGTAAAGAGCAGTATCTCTCAGTGTGTATTGGACTGTCACATTGTCATTCTGTGATTCCTGAGGAGTCCTGGGGACAGCTCTGGCTGCAGACACTGTGGGAAGCCCAGGAAGCTTTTGCTTCTGTTTTGGTTTGTTAAAGCAACGCCTGACAGGTGACCATGCCAGAGGCTCTGCAGCACCAGGGTGGAACATGCAAGAGTCAACTTGCACTCAGGAGGAAAACAAGGGATGAACATCAGGTCAACAGGTGAGATCCTGCCGCTTTCCCCGTGTGCTGCAGGGATCAGAGAGGAGGGCACTTCCAACCATGCAAATTCCTTGTGGCCAAATTCAGTTTGGAAGAGTTGGTGTCAATGTTTGGACCTGCCCTGCTGTGAGCACTTGGCAGTGGGAATGCTCCAAGCCCTGGGCAGGAGTGCTGGATGCTCTGCTGCCACTCCCAGCCACGGTCCTGTCCTGCCCTGCTGAGCCCCTGCTGGAGCTGGCTCTGCTCCTGCAGAGGGAGGGGGTGCACTGATCCCCAGCTGTGACAACAGACAGCCTGTGCTCCTGCTAGGTGGCATCCTGCCTCCTCTTCCCTCCTGCCCCAGTGTTTGTGCAGTGCCTGGGTGAGCAGCCCTTAAGACATTGACAAAATATTTGTTCTGCCTGGAGCTTAGCATCAATTGCAAACAGTTAAGTTTCCTTGCTACCAGTTGAATTCTTCCTTGCTGTACATAAAAATCTTTTAAAAATAATCTGTGTAATCTTGAAGTATGATGGATATTTGGGTTCCATTTACAGTATAAATTAGGAATGCTGTGGTCTTTCTCTTCTGACTTGTTTGCTTTTACACCAGAAAAGTATTTAAGTCCTGACTGGCTTGTTTTCAGCAATCAAGTGAGGTTTTGGTATCTGGAAACATAATGAAAGTGGAATTGCTGAGTTTCCTATGGAAATAACATGTATCCCAGGTTACCCCTTTCCATCTACTCACTGCAGTTTTGGCTCAAACAAGCTTTGGTTGAGTGTCAGGCATTTTAGAGAGAAACCAAAATAACTCAATTATGAGGTCAATTACTCCTGATGGTGGTGGTGCTATGGCTGAGTCATGCAAGGCCTGATTCTTCCATCAGTCTGTAGAACAGTCCCTTCTGAGCTATTAAGTGTTCTGGAGTATCAAATTCTGCTATCCGGCCATTTTCCAAGACTAAAATCCTGTGAACATTAAAAGAAGTGTAAGTTTGGGATTATACCAGCACCTATAATAAACCTACTAATTTCTACTTAGTTTTAAAATGAGTTTCAGTACTTGCTGGTTATTCAGCCAAGCTTTCCAACAGCTTTTCAGCTGGGAAACAGTGCTGGGATAGAAAGGGTTTCTGATGAGTGTTCCAAGTGCTGAGTTTGGGAGGAGGGGTTTTTGCAGCTGAGACTGGAGTGAGATTTGTGATATTGGGTGTTTTAGTGTCACAACTCTCAGGTGACCAAGGAGCTGTAGTCATGGTTTTGCTGTCAGTGAGGGGGAGAGGGCTGTGACACAGCAGGAAAGCCACCATGTGGGAGCAAAGGATCTCTGATTAACCTGCTGGTGTCCTGCTGCTTTAAGAGAGATCCTCCAAACTCTAAAGCAAAGCTTGGAGGTTTAAACAGGCACAGGACAGCAATGGAGTTGCTGTTCAGCACCACGGTGGGGTGTCAGCCCCAGCAGCTGCCCGAGTGCTCCCCTGCTCAGAGATGTCCTTACCTGTCACAGTCCAGCACGGTGCTCACCCGGTGAGCGATCGTCAGCACGGTGCTGTCTCTGAACTGAGTCCTCAGCATGGACTGAATCTGGACGTCAGTCTCTAAATCCACTGCTGCTGTGGCCTCATCCAGAACGAGGATTTTGGCTTTCTGCAGGAGTGCTCTGGCCAGGCAAACCAGCTGTTTCTGACCAGTACTGTAAGTAAGAAGAGGGATGGTAAACTGAAGCCAGTAGTCACTTTTCCTTGGGGTCAGAAGAGATGATTCATTTGAAATCAATAATGAAAAGGTGATTGTTCCCTTTCTCTGAAAGGGTGATTGAGGCTGGTGGCACTGCAGGTAGGTAACAGCATGAAACAGCCTGAGGAAGGGAGGGGAAGGTATTGCTATGGCACCCAGAAGAACTGCACTTGGAACAGACTGCAGGGTTTTAGGTACTGCACAAATGCAAACTACCACAATGATTAAGTCTGAAAGGTCTTCCTTAGCCTCTTAGGGTTTGATTTCATGCTGCTAAACAGGACAGTAGTGCAGCAATTTTTAAGGAATTAGCCTCCTTATCCAACCAGCTCTGTTCTTCTAGCCCAGGGGCTGGCACTGCCCTGTCACTGTCTTTCTGCACATAAAGGTACCTTAGGTTTTCCCCTTGGTCAGTGCACTTATATTCCAGCTGCTCTGGCAAATCTGCAACAAAGTTCTTGAGCTGAGTCAGTTCCAAAGCTGTCCAGATGTCTGCATCAGTGTATTGGTTTAATGGGTCGAGATTCATTCTTAGGGAGCCAGAAAACAAAACTGGATCCTGAGCACAGAGACAGTACAAACAACTCCTGAAATGAATTATAAAAATGAGCTCTTGGGTCCTCCCTGCTGGGTGGGAATCTCTGGCTAATGTCATTGAATAGCAGATGAACACAACATAGAGGCCGTTTCCAATTTGGAGATTGCTCAATGTCCCTCCTCTCACAGAATCTTTAAGAACCCTTCCCAGGTGTTCAAGACACTGCTCAAGGATTTTGGAAATGAGATTCATACCTGGGGAATGACAGTGATCTTGGTTCTGAGGTCATGGAGACCTAGCTGGGCAATGTCCTGTCCATCAATGAGGATGGCTCCTTCTGCAGCTTCCACCAGTCGCAGCAAGCCCACAGCAAGGCTGGATTTCCCAGCTCCTGTTCTGCCAGTTATGCCAATCTGAAAAGTGCAATGGGAGGACTTTGGTTTTGATCTTGATTCTTTTCTCACAGGTGGACAAACATGTCATGTAGTTCCTCTTGGCCTTTTGATGGGAGACAGCTTTGCACAGATCAGATCTTTAGGGCTGTTTGTGATTCATATGGTCTGGCAATACTTTCTTCAAATGGAAGCATTTATAGCTCACAATTGTTTTGTATGAAAAGGAATCACAAAAGCCTTTGAAGGGAAGAATAATTACAAGACTTAGCAGTTCGAACAGGGCCTTGATGTGGAACTAGACTGAAAAAGTGCAATTCCTTTGCTCTAACAAGCTGGACAAAGTGTGCAGTGTGGAAGATGGGCTCCTGCTTTCTGCAGCTGCCAGGCTGCTGTAGCTGGGTGCAGGCAGGGGCTGGGTGCCCTGGATCTGGTCAGTGCCCAGCACTGCTCACACTGCTGGAGTGGTTTTTACCTTCTCATGCCCATTGATGGTCACAGTGACACGCCTCAGTGCTAACTCCAAACCTGGCCTGTAGCAAAGGCTGTAGTTTCTAAATTCAATCCTTCCCTCAGTGGGCCAAACTTGCCCTTGAAGTTTGCCATTCAGAGTCCAGGGTGCCTGAAGAGATGGAAGCAAACAGCAGTGTTGAAGGCTGACTTAAATTACCCAGTCAAGTGGCAATACTGGAATGGGGAGTTCATGAAGACACCTGTGCCAACTGCCCCCCAATCTCTTTGCAGCTTCCAAACCAGAAAAAGGCCTCTAAGTTTCATACTGCAGATGTTGTTTTTACTTTATCCAAAGATACTGGTCAGATTTTCTTTACTGAAAATGGAGATGAACATTTGCTTGCATGTCAGAGTTCTGACATTGAGTGGTTCAGTAACAAAAATTTATATGCCCCTATAAACAGGACTGTGAAAGCCTCCTCTCCCTGGGCAGCATATGGAGATATAATTTTAATGATTACAGAACAAAAATTACTGCACTGGAGACTTTCAGGAGTTAAAAGGCTATCTAGGAGCCACTACTTATCAGTGAGTTGCATCTGAAGTCACATAATAAATACTCCAAATATGGGCAAGAAATGTCTCATTCCACGAGTGTTAACAAGTGAAGCTATTTTAATGGCAATCCAGTGCATAACTGTCTCAAGGAAATAATGATCAGAGGTTATAAAACAAGTCTAGTCAGTTGGATAAACCCCAAATGCTGCAGTTCTTTAAAGGAAACATGACTGGCCTTTTAGAAGGGAAAACTAGAGGTTTTTCAGCTGGAACTGAAAAGTTACTCATTGAGTTTGCAAAGATGTTCAGCCCCTTCTGGTAAGGTCAACAGTGGATTAGCTACCTCCTTAGGAGTCCTCAGGTATTCTCTCAGTCTCTCCACAGAAACAATGTTGTTCTCTACTTCTGTCCAGGAGCGAACCATCCAGTTCAGAACACCAGTTATCTGCACAGTGGAAAAGAAACATTGGGGCAGATAAAATGAGCCCTGACCTCTGCTCAGGAGATACCTGGTACTTTGTCTTAGTGTTTATTTCTAAGGATCTCCTCATCAGCTAATTATATCAGAAATTAGCATCATAAATCCTTAAAATGCTAAAGTGAAGGCCAGGTCCTACCATAGCCTGTTCGGCATGTTAATAGAGAATTAAATGCTATTGACTTGGATTCTAAAAGATGGTGTAGCTATTTCTTAGGCTCTTGTGCAACTAGTCTACAGGCAGGTAAGACAGGCTCTGAAGACCTTGCTTCAGCTGCCCAGGGCTTGCTTTGACTTATATCTTGAGTTCAGGTGCAGGAAGAAGAAGATGGCCCATACATGTGTTTATGAGGTTCTTGCCCTAAGGGGCCATGTGCTCCAGATGCTCTGGATTTCAGCAATGACAGCAGGATTTGGTAGGAAAAGGCATCTAAAAAGGCACAGAAATAGTTCATAACAGAAATTAAAATGCAGCTGCTTTTGATAAAGGCAAGCATAGTATTATTTCCCCACTGGGTTACCTGGAGGGCACAGGAAAGGGAGAAGCCAGCAGTTCCTGGGCTGAGCTGTGTCCTGCCCACAGCTGCAAACAGGGCTGCAAACAGCACGACGCCATTGCCCAGGAACTCCAGGTTTGTAGCAAGCCACCTGCAGGAGGAGGGGGGCACACAGCTGTTGCTGGGTGCCCTCTCCCTTTCTCCCAAAACATGATTACTTTACAGAACACTCATGGAGCTGCTGGGCAGATTTGTACCTGTCAGCAACAGCTCCAGGGAAGCAAATTCGCTGGTTCTCATCCACTAGGAAATTGCTCTTTGAAATAAACCTCTGCTGGTCTTTGTGAGCACGGATCACGCTGCTGCCTTGGAAGGTTTCTGAGATGTGGGAGTAGATGGGTGACCTGCTGGCAGCCTCCATGCGCCTCAGCTGGCAGGAGGTGCTGACATAGAAGTGCTGGTACAAGGGGAAAGCAAGGGAGAGTCATTAGAAGGCTCATGCCTCTACAGAAGTACTCCAGAGGAAATTTGGGAAGGCCTCAACAAGTGCAATACTATGTACTATCCTCATGTTACAAAACCTTGGGTGCATGTAGGAGCTGCCCCTAAAAGATGAGGCAGTGTTCCTACCTCTGTTATGTCCTGTCTTTATCAGGAATAACCCTGTGGTTGGGGCAAAGGAGCCAGGGTGTTGTGAACCCACAAAACCTCTACAGAGCTTCTCCTGCAGCTGAGCCCTTTGCTCTATGGAGAACAGAGATGTTCCTGCCCCTCCCTAATGCTCAGTCTTGGCAATTAAAAAGTAGTGTAGGAATTCTGCTGAAAGGAAAAATGCTCTTGGTCTTCATGTGATTCACACTAATGGAGGTGAGGGATATAGCCCAGGTAGGATTTCTTTTAGACATGAGAAAAACACAATCTTGTTTGTGAGGGCTCTGGGGTGCTTTGGAAGGCTGAGGTGATGTGGGAAAGGGACTGACATTACTCTTGCTCAGAAGCAACTTGAGATGATGCAACTGATTTCTGCATGCCTTCACTCCCAAGAAATGGAAGGAGGCTTTCTGCAGGGCCATGGCTGTGCTGCTCAGCCTCTCCTGTGTGTGTACCTGTGGGCTCCTACCTGAAATGCTGCATAAAGAACAGTCAAGGGCACTATGGCCATTGCTGCCCATGGTGTAGCCACCACAATCACCAGATAGATCTCCAGTAAGTTGAACAAGAATCCCAGCATGGACTTGAGCTTGTCAGGGATGACAGAATCCACAGCATCCATGTCTCTGGAGAAGCGGTTCAGCAGGTGTCCAGTGGGTGTTTGCTCAAAGAAGAGCATTGGGGATCTCATGACATTGCTCAGCAGCTGCAGGAAGAGCTGGTGTGAGGCTAACACGCCCCCCAGCAGCACTGCTGCTGTGCAGGCAAACCTGCCAAGGGCTGTAAGAGAAAAGAAATTATTATTACTAGGTCTGAACAAACCCACCTTGGAGTTCTCCTTAGCAAGATGGTGGTTTCCAGTTACTCCTGTGAATGCTGCACCAGTGTGCATTCAGGAAGGTGCAACAGGAATTAAACCTCACTTTAGCAGGAATCAAATCAAGCCTCAGAGTTGTAAGGTAAGCTGCCCTTTGTGTAGGGTAGTTACCAAGTGGCCAAAGACCTATGCCAGCTTGATTGGGGGGCATGGATTCAGGAACTTAAACATGCAGGACAAATTATTCATTCATCACAAAATAAGCTTGACTGGGATTACTTTAAATTGCTCAGTGATATTTTTTCTTTTTAAATAGTGACCAGAAGAATGGTGGCTATTTAAAAAGAAAAATATAAAGAAATGTAGAAGTCCACAAGTTTCTCTTCTTTTCTCTCTCTTTGGTGTGACATAAGCCAAGATTTCATTCAGTGTAGCAGTGTGGGGAGGCAGCAATTCAGCATGGAGAAGAGCCCTCACTTGAACTTTAATATGATTAATTTATGCTGGAAGGATGAAAAGAGATAAAAGATGAAAAGAGCTTTAGGGCTGGGGCCAAAAGCTCAGGAAGCTGAAAGCCCAAGGGTACACACTTGTTTATATTCTGAGAGCACGTCCTGCATATGGGACAGGGAGGTGGGAATACAGAGAATTAGGGAGCAACTTCAACACACCTTGAACCACTCCTAAAGCACCGAAGACTCCAAGTCTGAGCTCTGTGTGCTGCTGTGTCCCGTTGTGCACGGGGTCATCTGCCCAGAGGCTGAGCCAGTAGCCCCGGGAGAAGGCCACGGCCTGCTGGCAGGCGAAGGACAGGAGCACGTACGCAGCCAGCGCCCGGCCTGCCGCCTGCAGGTAGGCTCCGTACACCCCAGCCCTCACCTGCAGACACACGTGGGCACAAAGAGGAGGAGAGGAGGTTGTTAGCTAAAAAAAAAGCAGCTCTGAAGCAAGGAGTGATTTATAATGGGATTTCTCAGTGATATGTCACAGTCACAGCAACCGTGTTGATTCTTGTTTTTCTCATGGATGAATAATGAAGGCATAGTTAAAGAAATGACTAATGAATGATTATTATCAATGGATGAATCTTATGCAATAGGCTCATGTTACTTCTGGAATACATGTAAGGCTTTCTTTATGTCAGGCAGTGGTTTTCCTGTGTGCTGGTGTGAGACAGAACTGTCATGTCTCCTGATCGTGTGGCCTACTGATCAGGAGAGGTGAGGAGATCCCAGTCTGGATTGAGCTGGGGTTCCATAAAGAACAAGCTGCCTCTTTTGGAGTTTCTGACTTCTTGCTCTCATTTCTTAGTACAGTATGTCCTTGTCTCAGTTACAGGGCACACTTGTACAGCTCAGCTGACTGCCCTGGCTCTGGTCTAGCTGAGGCAGGGAGCTGGCCTGCCTGCCATGGGTGTGTTATCCACAAGGAATGCGTCCTTGCCTCTACAGGAAGGTGCTGTGCTTACCCTGCCGTGCTGAGTTCTCTCTGCCTTGGTTAATGCTCCACTGGTGGCTGCAGCACTGGTGCAGTGTGGGCTCCCAGGAATGGTCTCCCTTCCCACAGCAGATTTTACTGAATGACCACTTCATGAAGAAAACAAAAATCCTTTCAATTTTCAGCCACCCATCCACACTTAAATCCATGTCTATTTTGAAGGCTGCAGTTTTCAGGCTCCTCCAGAGTGTCCCCAGCCACTGTCCATGTTTGTCACAAGGACTGGGCTCTGTCAAGCCACTGAGCAGCAGAAAAAAAGCATTCACTCTAAGGATGGTTTGGGATCAGCCTGACCTTACAACCCCACAGGGAAGTGACCAGCAACCAAATGTATCAAGGAGCCTGTCCCTGAGCTCTGTCCTGCCTCCTTGTGAAACACAGAAGTCAACTTCCACATTCAAGAGCAGGTATTTACCTTCTCTTGAGTTTTGCTTGTTTGCTCTTGTTATTTATTTACAGATCAATCCCAAACCTGTATCATACTCAGTAAGAGCCTCTGTGTAGGCTTATATGGGCTTTTGGAGTAAATTCTTCAGTATCTGAGACTGCTTTAAGCTTACCTGAGGGGTTTCTCCTGAGATGGACCATTTCCAGTGGTGACAGTGCCTTTAGTGTCTCCCATAGCTGTGAAATAACAGTATTTTTTTCTAAATGTTTTAGAGTCCTGTTTTGTCTTATACAGCCTTTGAAATACTGGTAATATATTGAGGTAAGATTAATTAAAAAATTGTTTCTAAAGGTAGAAATATCAAGGTGAGGCTTGAAGAATAGCACATACAGTGAGTAATAGTTTATTATTAGATTTACTAATAGACTAAATTTACTATTTACTATTAGTTTAGTAATAGATTATTGTCTACTAATATGGATTCAAGAGCCAGTTTTGAGGTGATGAGTCAGCTGATTTGACAGCCATATTTTTCCCCACACAAAGCAACACCTTACTGTGATTGGATCTCAGCTTTAAATGTCCATAATATAACAGATGTTATATGAAGGGAACAATTGACTGATTAACCTAGGAAGAATGATTCCAACCTCTCTGGGTTACCTGCAAAACCACCAGGTGGCTTCTCTTCTGCAGTAATGTGTGAATGAAGAAAATCTGCAAAGGCTCCATTTCTCTGTAGAAGTTCTTGGTAGGAACCAGTTTCTGAGATCATTCCATCCACCAGAAAAACAATGTTGTCCACTTGAGGCAGAATGTTGATTGTGTGAGTCACCAGCACACGAGTCTGCTTGAATAAAGAAGGAGCAGTCACAATTGTTCTGCTGTCTGGTATCAGTATTTCAGGATCAAATTTAGGCCTCAAAAAATCATCAGCCTGAATGGAATTAAAGGGTATTTCCTTTTATTCACATTTCTGAGCATTTTTGCACAGATAATTGGAGGAAATGATGTAAGAAAAGTAATTTTTCCCTAGATAAATTGGCATTCTGCATTTCTAATATACAGTCAAGCCCTTTGAGTACACCTTATGTCTGATACATTGTTCTTAGGAAGTCATTCTGTTTCAATACAATAATTATATTCTGATACTTGCAACCAATCTCATGGAGAGAAAGGTATTTATAATTATATATGTTTGTTTTAATTGGACTTTGTAATGCAAGAAACTGCCTTCTTCCAGTTTCCCTTCTATAATGTGAAACTGACTCAAGTGTTTCTAGGCAATTTCTAGTATGAATCCAAAGAGCTGCCCTAGCATTCCTTCTCATGTAACCATGCTAATTATCCGAATAGCTTGACAGCAGAGGAATACCAAGGAAAAACAAAACACAACCAATGCAAAAAGAATGGAGAAGTGTTTAAGTGATGAACATTTGGGTGATGAGAAGTGTAAATGTGCCCCTGAACTATTCAAAAATAATGACGGTGATAGAATTTGGAAGAGATCAGGCAGCTCCTCTGAATTGTGCTAGAATTTAATCTCAAAAGGAGGGAAGGATGTCCACAGAAGACCAAAGAACTGTAAACTTGCTGTGAAAGTAAGGCTGGCACTAGGCATGTGGTTTGCATGAGGATGAAGACAGCCTTCCTTCTCCTAAATGAGATGCCCTGCAGTATTTGCAGATGCTGTGTGGCCTGCAGAGGTTCCCCAGTTTCCCTGCTGCCACTGCAAAAAAGCGTTTGTGAGTTTGATAAACAGCAACCTGCCCTACTGGAAACGTTTTGGGGGCTCTGCTAATCAGAGCCATTGTGCAGTTGTTTATAGTTCAGGTTCATACACACCTTGTCCTTCAGTAAACCATTGGGTCCAAGAACATGTTCAAAAATGTGCTGCCCAACGTGGGCATCAACAGCTGACAGGGGATCGTCGAGCAGGTAAATCGAAGCCTTCTGGTACACGGCCCGAGCAAGGTTCACTCTCTGCTTCTGCCCTCCAGACAGATTGATTCCCTGGAAAATGTACTGACTCTGTTCATTTCAAAGCTACAGCATATTTCCCAACTGCTGGCTTACTTTTATACTGATGTTTTATGACTTCCTTATTTTTAAATCAGTTCACCTCCCTCCCTCCCTCCAAATAGGGTTCTTGCAGAGGCAGAGTCTCTTGAACAACTCTTTCCTGCAAAAGAGCACCCAAGAATAACCTAGATGTGTTGATTTTTCTCTTAAACATCTCTCATTTCTCTGGTTAGGCTGTTAGAAGTGAGCTTAAATTAAATAAAATCATGGCCTAACTTACCAGAAATTCCTGAGCACCTGCCTCTTATGAGTTTAGGGTTTTTTGTGTTTTCATTACATCTCCCAAAGTTGTAGTTACTCGGGGATAGATGTTTTAAGCAGGACACCTGAAGTTGTAGCTACTGAGGGAAAAGTTGGCCAAAACATAAACCCAAGGCAGTACCTTTTCTCCTATTTCACTCTTCTGCCCTGCAGGAAAGGTCTCCAAATCAGGGTGCAGTGCACAAGCCTCTGTCACTCTATTGAACCAGGTTTCATCCATCTCCTTCCCAAACAGAATATTATCTTCTACTGAAGCATTTAGAACCCAGGCTTGCTGGGGGACATAAGCTGCAGTGTCCTATGAAAGTGGAAGAATGTTAGCAAACTTTTCCATAAGGTCAACTTGACACTGTGAGAACCCATCTTTGAAGAAAAGCTCTCCCAGTTGTGGAAATCTGGAATGATCATCAGCACTGACAATTCTCAGAAGGCTTTGAAAAATATGAGTGCACTGCTATTACCTTACAGGGGAGTGAATAGAGGTGCAAGTACAGGATGCAATTTACCAGGATGACACTTCAGCTCACTGTCAGAGGGAGAAATAGAACTGGATCATTGAAGTATTGTTCCAGTTCCTGTTCACAAAGTTCAGGCTCATCTGAGAAGTCTGCAGCACTTTCAGGTAACTAAATGTGGACTGATACATACAGCCTGTGTTAAAATTCATCAGGTAACTGATGCTGTGGTTCCTACCTTACAGTTTCTGAAAACAGCCCAATTAGAAGCAAATGCTGAGGGGAAAATTCACCTTGATGGTCACGCAGCCCTCGGTGGCCTCCAGCTCGCCCAGCACCGCTGCCAGCAGGGAGGACTTGCCAGCACTCACCTGGCCAACCACAGCCAGCAGAGAGCCCTGGGGCACGCTGAGCTCTATGCTGGGGGAAAAGATCAGTCTCTTGGCACATTTTAGATACACTTTCTGAAAGCAAATAATTGTACTTATTATCAAAATTCTTGACATTGTTGGGCACATATTGAGTAAATCTCCTAATTTCATCCCTTCAGACACCTCAACCAGAGAGTCTTCACCCACATCCCCATCTGATTTTCATACCCAGATCCTCACTCTGGAGATAGGCTAGCCCAAAGCACTGGATGTAGAACACTCCTGAACATCAAAACTTTTCAAAGCTCTTCTTTTCTAAAATGTCAATTCCTTTTGCAATAAGCATGTAGTGATGTCATATACAGTGTCTGCATTCCATCTGTTCTACTTTTTTGCCTCATATCACTGTAATTTCATATTTGGCAAGAAAACTGTATAAAGAAAACAGCCCCCATACAATAAGGCAACATCCAGATACAGGCACCTTCCCATTTATGTGCTCCTCAACATAAAAGCAAAATTATATTTTATCTGATTTTATAATTTTCAGAGTTCAACAATAAATATGAAGCCTCTGGATATTCCCAGGTTCCACTTAGGCCTTCAGGCCTTAGTCCATCCAAGATCCACCCTGACCTACAGTATTGAGGGATGACTAAGGGAAGACTAAGGGAAGTCTGTACCTTCTAAGACAAGGAGAAGTTTCTTTGCTCCAGCAAAAAGTCCCATTTCTTATGGTGATACTTGCCTGTACTAAAACATGAAGAGAGACAGACCACTTGTAAATGCAGAGACAGCTACAGAAATGTCCCAATTTATGTGATTTTATGTTTCAGTGTGTATTAATGTTACACAAAATCAACCTTTACTATGAAAAGAAGGGGTATATCACCAGATTACATTTCATTGTTAGAAATAATGAGGCCAGAGAGATAAAGTGACAGTAAGGGGCAAATATTTTTCTCTTGGCTATGGTAGACACCCTGAGTAGAAGCTGAACAATGGAAATTATTCCTCTTTTAAGACAAAAGGGCTAACATAAAAGCTCACCACTGCCAGAAGTGTTTCTGCTTGAGCTCTCAGGATTCAGTTCTTCCAGATTCAAAAAAGTTGCTAAACGGTTCAAGGAAACTTTGGCCTGAAATGAAGCAGCACACAGAAGAAAATAAGATTTAGAGTAGAAAGGGAGCAAAAACCCAAAGTGAAGACTCAGTCTGAAGACCCACTTAGAATAGTGACTAGTGCTATGCTGCAGATGCTACAGCTTAGATGGCCAAAGGCAGCTCTTCTTTATGTTACCTGACTTTATTTCCAGTTAGCTTACCAAAACCTCCATATCCTTCCCTGTGCTTTTGGTTCAGCAGTGAAATTGGCACTTTTTCGTCCTATTCTTCCTGCAATCTTTCCAGTGATTGCTTTTGTACATGAAAATCTGTGACAGTATTAGAGTGTAAGAGGAAAATGAATTTCCTAATTTCTTACTGAACAGTGAATTGCTTTTTTTTCTCTGGCCTGGACCAGCAGAGTCTCCCCTATGGAGATTTTGTTCCACCTGTTCTGATTTCTGTGATTAAAAACAGAACTGGAAGCCCCTCTAAGGTCTAATGGTGCTTGTGCTGAGCTACAAAAGACTTATGAGTAATTCTTGTTGACTATTTTGTCAATATAAAGGAGCCTTTCAGAAAAGCAATGCCACAAAGTACGTTAGCTGCAAGCCCTTGCACGTCACCATTTCACAGTGGCAATTAAATAGCTGATGTGCAGAGCCCTAAGAAACCCCTACCTTTACCTGTTAATGGAGATATGTAAAAAACCCCTAATGGTCAAAGGAAGAGGAACAGGGCCTGCAGTTAACCTGGACAGCAGTGTTGATGGAGAAGGGCAGGAAGGAGTGGGCAGTGTTGAGGATGTTGATCAGTGTCAAGGACACAAAGGCCTTCTCAGCATCCAGCACGTGTGTGTTGTCCACCAGGGTGTAAACAGCAAACATGACAAATGCGATCTGAAAGGGAGCAAAGGACAAGCAAACCACTTGCTTCAGAATGGTTCAAGGGTGACAGGCCCTCCAAGACTCTGGGACCCATTGGGTTAAATCCAGGCTATCCTCTCTAGGTGCCTGTCCTGCAGGCACCACAGGCAAAGGTCTGGCATGTTGGTGACAGAATTAATTTTGATCACTGGATGTTCGCTCTGCTTTAAGGAGGTTTTGGTGCAGCAGCCACAGCAACTCCTGTGACCTCCAGGCAGATATAATCTTTAGCTGTCCATAGGAAAAATCTGTCCAGGCAGGAGTACAAAGGAAAAGGGAAGTAACAGCATATGTTTCATGTAGGAAGGTGATCCACTCACCAGGAAAGTTGATGAATGGAAGGAAACTAGGGATGCTGAGAAGAGAATCTGAGATTTTTTTAAGGCCTGAAGTTCTTGCTTTCGGATTCCAAATACTTTCTCCATGAAGGTTTTCTCCCAGCCATACAGTTTGATTACTTTAATGTTACTGAGAATTTCATTGGTGAGTTTGGCCCTCTCATCCTTATGTTTCATCTGGGCTTCCTGTAATAAATGTTTGAGTTTTATGATTTAATAGGTTTAATATTTAATTGTGCAATTATTCTGAAGAAAAATACCTTATTCCTGCCTTCAAGTCCTGAATAAATTTCCCTGCAGTTGATCTGTGTATACTGTTTTGCTTAAGATTCTTCTAGCTGGGAAATATTTTACTTTTCATCTTCAGAGCTTTATTTTTACTGGCAATACATAAAAACAACAGAAAAGTAGGGCAAACATAGTAAAAAGGCTGAACATGGAAAAGCTTACTCTAAATTTCAAGAAATTTTGCAGGCTTCAAATCCTCCTATGTTACTTCAGACTTCATGTCATGGTAAGCATGAATAAATATAAGTAATCACATCACTCAGTAAACCACTTCATTTTTATGAAGCAAAATGTACCTGAAACTGACTCCTCTTCTTGGTGATCACAAAATTCAGAGGCAAAAGAAAAAGAAATACAGCAATTGCAGTCAAGGCAGATGGCCCTAGAAGCTGCCAGGAGAGAAAAGAAAAGAGAAGGAACTTCTGGTGATGACTATGCAAGACTGCTTTTCGTTCCCTTGCTTACCTTCCCTCTTAGTTGAACTTTTGCATAACAACCCTTTGGCTAAGCCTTTACTGTAATCTTGCCTTTGCCTTTCCAGGGAGTTGTGCTCCTAAGCACTGTGGATTGTTAACTCTCCAAGCCGGATAACTCCTGTCATCAGGCTGTGCTGAATTTATTTGCTCCCTTGTTAGGAACTAGATCGGAGCTGAAGGCGATCCAGAGGCACGCTGGCAATTCAAGCCATTCCCGGCTCTTCTCCTCCATCCCTGGATGCGTTCAGAAGGACATCTTGTGGCTGCCCTGAGTAAGTGACCCCAGACAACACCAGATGTTCCTTCAAAACAAACCCAAACCCTCAACCAAGTATTCTTGCAGCATAAATAGCCCAACTTGTCTGCATGAGGTGAAATTGTGGCATTATCCTGTGCCATTATCTTGAGACAGCTCTCGGACCCCAGGGCTCATAACAATTATGTATCAACACTTGTTTTTTATGGGTTAGTTACATCTCCCTAGGGATGGTTGGAGTGGGGCATAACACACAGAGTTACAGTACTGTCTGCACAAATGGTCTGTGAGCAACAGCAAAGGAAGTGCAATTATGCTCCAACCACATTCAACTTGTTAAAGTCATTAGGAAAGGGATGATGAGTTCACAACTGTCTGTACCAGGGCTACTGATTTTCACAGTCACAGCGTCCTGCTAGGCATGAGGCACAGTCCATCCTGGGTAGTAAAGGAAGGCCTCTGGAAAGCTCCTGTGAATCACCTGTCTCTATACTGCTCAGAAAACACCATACATTGATTAAAAATTTATCTTTTAGATTACCATCCATTATTTATAATCCAGGTTTTGCTCTCTCCTTGCTGATGTCCTTGATACCTATGAAATTCAAAGTATCCAATACTCTTTCTGGATGGCATGTAACTTTGCTTCAAGCTCTTTCACTGATCAGGCTTCAGGATGAAGTATGTCAAGTTGCTATTTCAGACCATTCCCCATTATGTTCTGGGACTGTGCCAAGGAGCTGGAACTGGACTTTCAGCCTAAACCGGGTCACCACCTTTTGGTTGTAAAGAGAGGTGACAGGAAAATCTGAAGCAGAAGTTCATCAGTCAGCTCACAATAACCATACTCACAGACTCCTAAAAGAGACTGAATGCTGAATACACAGGTGAGAAGATAAACTGAAGGATCAGACAAGGATTCTGTATCAATAAAAATATCTTTCAGAAAGAAAAGTGAATCCACTGTGCTACAGAGCTAAGAAAAATATGGCAATTTCATGTCATTCAAACTAGTAAGTATAATTTTGAAACCTCATTTTTCCTTTGATATTTAGAATAGAAAGGAATTGATAAATAGTGTCATATATTACCTGCCACAAGAAGACAAAGCAGATGATAATCCGAATAGGAGCCAGCCAGGTCCCATTAAAATAGATAATCAGATCCATTAGCTTTTGCACATCAACAGATACCAGATTAACAATTTCACCTGTGGTTGCTGCTTTCCTTGAGGCACTTGACATAACCAGGATCTAGACAGAGCAGAGAAGAAAGAAAAGATATTATCAAACAATAGCTTTGGTCCAAAAGTCAAACATCATTCTTTTCCTCACAGAGAACAAAGAATGAGAAAAATGTCAATTCCCAGGTATTGAAAGCATGCTGCTACCTGGGCCATGTGACTTCACTTCAAGATGAAGCATTTACTCCTTTTCCCCAGCCATCATCTACAGCATAAGGTGATTTTTGCTCTTTCCTTTTCTTGGCTTTTCCTTCATAGGGAACCTCTAAAAAATGTACCTGCCATGTACTGCTCAGAGATGAATCTACATCCTAAAACTACTTTCTAATGACATCTCCCCTGATATTGCTATGGACAATGTACATCATTACTGCTAAGGCAGGGCTAGAATAAAAGCACAGCTAAAAAAGGAGCTGCAGCCTCACCTTCCTGTACACAAGGCCTGTTAGTGCAGTTCTCAGCCTCAGCCCCAGCACAAGGCACATGTACATGTAGCGCTGCTCAAACAGAGTCTGCAGACAGCCCAGCAGGAAAATGCTGAAGGCATAGAAGTAGCCAAGCCAGCTCGGGGCTGCCTGATCTTCAATGAACTTCAGGAAAAGGCTGCAAGACAGAAGCCAAATGTTACTGAATCTACACAGTACTGATGAAATATCACACACACAAAAATAAACTGGCAGAAATACTGGTGATTTTTCTGTATTCTCTCTGGCTGAGGATTATCAGTGAATAGCAGAAAAATTGGAACATATAACATCCTGATTTTTGAAATTTAACCACTCATAGTTTTGAAGCAATCTCTCATCTCAGCATCCTTTCTGGGTAGACCTCATTTTCAGTGTTAAGGATGGCTCCTGATTTGCATGAATTTGTCAGAAATATGCAAAGTGCTAGCTGTAACCTTAGGGAGTCACTGACATTTCCAGAACTTCTTCTAATCTCAGTGACTAAGACAGAATTTTTGCCCATGAAAATATAATGTAATGCAGGTTGGCGTTGTACCAACAGAACACAAAGCATTTTATCAACTAACAAAGCTATTTAAGATGTGTAGGATGCACAGCTGTGCTCTTTATTAGCCAGGGAACATAGAGCCTTAAGACTACAGGAAGTAGCAAGTGATGTGATATACAGAACCATCAAATAACTCCTGTTCTGGTGATGTTGTCAGATGGCTTGGTGCATCCTGTCCTTCCCACTGCTGGAGCACAGCAGTGCAGACAGTGTGCACAGCTTCACACAGTGGCTTTGTGTCTTCTCCTCCTGACTTGACAGTGGGTTTAGCACAAATGACACCTGAGCTCCCTTCATCAGCAAGAGAAAATTTCAAAAGGTCATTGTTTGTATGTCTGCAGGTGCTGACATACACATCTCTGAGCTCATACACACAGCAATCCTGTACATGGGACAGAAATACATCTTAAATGTGCACATACCTCAGTACCTTCGGGGTGGAGAACAAGAAGACATCACAGATAACTAAGCAGACCGTGCTGAGAAGGAAGTAAGTTCCAAACATGCTCCAAAACATTCTCAGTAAGGGCCCGATCTGACTGTGCTTTGATTGTAGTAGAGCCTCTGTCTCTTCAGCTTCTGCTATACCAGTTTCAGCTTTCTGACCCTTTTTAAATGTGGCAGACTCCATTTTCCTGAAGGAAGAAACAATGAGAAAGTTACCTACAACTGGAGAAAGCTTGGGAATTTTGTATCTTCAAAAAATCACTAAATAGCTCACACTGGGTCTCACACCATGCCCAGTATTAAAAGCTCATCAAAAACTGACCTCTCTCATGGAAAGTTAGGTCAGTGCTTCCAGGAGTGGAAGGATGCTCTCCAGCAGATGTTCTCCAGCAGATTTTAACACTTAAAATCAGATTTTGCACAAAGGGACTCACACAGCAGTACCTGTGAGTGCATTTGCTTAGATCATCTAGAACTGCCCAGCTGAGCCCATGATGTGCTCTCCAAATCAAATACTCACTTCTGGGTTCTGCTGCGACAGTTCTTCCACTCTCTTTCTGCCCTGGCAACAATTTCCTCAGAGGAGTCCTGTTTCCTCACTGGCCACAAGTCATCCACACCCAAGGCCTGCTGAGAGCCCTTCCAGAGGAGCCTGGAGGATACAGACTGCAGTCAGGGGAGCACAGCAGGATCTGTGCTCTGTGTGACTCTTTCAGAACACAGGGGCATCAAGGCAGTGCAGCACAGAGAGCACACAGCACTCACATCCCAACACCACTCAGGACTGTCCTGTCCCACAACAAACACGAATGTCAGAACAGCAGCTTTGCTTTGAATCCCTAGGCTATCTTCTGTCAGCACAATGGGGATTTGGAAGTCAGCTCTAACTTCTAGTCCACACTGAGAGTCTTGGGTAGTGGAGTGGAAAGTTCAGTTTAAATCTCCCTGGGCCTCCTGAAAGGCAGATGAGACCTGATCACAGTGGACTTTAAGGAATGTAATTTATTTCCTTCCGAATACTCAGCAGCACACTGGGCCTATGCCCTGTTCCCTGTCTTCCCCTTTCCCAGCAGTTGTGACAGCAAGGTCAGGCAGGCAGAGAGGGTTGTGCTTGGTGTACAATTATCTTTTGAGATTGATGAGATCTATTTCAAGATTGGGAGGGCACTGGAGGGGTAGTTGGGAGGCAGAATTATCTAGAATCACAAATTTGCATTTTAATCTATTTTGAGAAAAGTAAATTAAATTTCTATAATTTGATATTGTGAGAATACCTCACAAGAGAAATAATTTAAAGAAATAAATTAAATTTTCACTCCATAAGCTAACTCAGGGCTATTTCCCACTGGCTACCACCTACACCCTCTCTGATCTCTGATGCTGCTGTTTTTTTCTGCTATTGTAGCAAAACCACATCTTCTGTTTTCTTACCCAGAGAACCACCAGTATGTGATTTTGGAAAGAAAAGAGCTGCTGGCTTCTGGGCACTGATTCTGATGGGAGAGAAAACACGTGTGATATTTATATACAAAAGGAAGAAAGGGCATGTGTCAGATGAATATAGTTCTCTTCTGTGCTTCCCCAGGAAAAGCAATCAGAGTTATCCCCCTCCCCATTCTTTGAACCAGAGCAAGTGCATTGAGCCTCCAATGGGATTGGAAAATTTTTAAGAATTTGACTTTGCATAGTGTCTCAGATGGAAGAACAAAGAATATAATTTTTTCATACCCAAATACATTTATTTTCTTAAGCACAGAGCTTTTCCATACTCATATCACCAACAGAGTACTGCAGCACAGGAGAGCAGCACCAGGGGAAGCAATAGAAGCTCTAACAACTGGTTTCAGTGACAAGACACATGAGTATGGATAGGCTTTTAGTTGAAAAGCTTACAGAGAGAGACAGAGCCCTGTTATCCCAAATTCTGCCAGTTACCTTTTAAAACTGTCAGCTTCTTTACAGAATGATGCATCTTACATCACCCAGATACTCATGTGTCTGTGTATCCCCATACATTTAAAATCCTGTTTCAGCAATGAAGCAAAGCATTAGAAAAAGCTACCTTATACTTACAGGACTGTTGTCAGCTTTAGAGAAGAAGGGAGGGTGATCAACTAAGCAGAATAACACAAGTTCTCCTAGCACCAGGCCAGTGTAAAGGTAAGCTGTAACATGGTGGAAATGGTCTTGCAGGAAGCCCTAAGGAACAGAATACTGGTGAAAATGAGGTAAGAACCTTCATGTTTAACCAGCAGAGAAAGAGCTTCTCATGTTCTACCTCTGCAAACATCCACCACAAACATAAAGTGTCATGAACCATTTTTCTCATCACATATTTTAAAAGAGGAATTTGATTCTCCCCCTTGCAGTCAGTAAGACAAAACCAGCCCTGTTGTTTAGAGACGTTGTAGTCTGCACATTAAAGGTATGTGATCTCACTTACTCTTTCCAGAGCATGCTGAATTTTGGAACTAAGGATCACAAGTGCAGCCACAAATGAGAGCAGCCAGTAAATCAATAGGACCCCTGAAGACTGGATGCCCATCATTCTTTCTGCTTGGGTAAGGAACAAGGCAAGGACCTGTGAGGAAGTACAGATTTGTCCAAATAAATACCTGGTAATGGAATGCCAAACATTATTATCAAATTAATGACTACAATAGAGAAAAATCAGTTAGCTTCTTGCCCAAACATTTCAAGATGTTCAGAGTTGAAGTATTGTTCCTAAGAGGCTAACACTGAAAAGCTTTGTGTGCAATTTTGCACTCAAGAATGTCTACAGAGAAGGCAAGTAATAAAATTACAATTGGGCCAACAGGCTGGAAGGACTGAGGCTATGAAGGTGCAATGACAGAAGGGGGAATAGGCACTGATTTATTGAACAGAAATCACATTTCACTCTAAACCATATCAAATCCCATGCTGTGGTTCTGAGAAATGAAATCTTGTCTCATTGTTGTGAGACCTCTTTCTAAACCTTACTGACACCTCAGCTCCTGCCAGGTATGCTCTGCCCACAGGGTCTGCTCCAATTCCAACCCCCAGCAGCAAGGCACAAAGTGCATCCCCAGCCTTCTACTCCCCATCAGCCAAATTTGTGCTCAGAGACAGCAAGAACCATGGGAAAGACAAGCTCTGTCCCAGGAGGGCTAAGCCTGGCCATCTGCAGACAGTCAAGGGAGGAATTACCATTGTGATTCCCACCAGAGCAGGGCTAATGAAGAGTGCTGGGGGCCTTGGGATTCCTTGGCTTTTCTCCCACACCATGAAGAAGACATTAGAAAAACACAATATTACCAGGATGAATCCAAGGACCTGGGCAGAGACAGAAAACACACACTGGAATGAACTGAAATGCTGGGACAATCTACCAAACTGTATGATCCAAGCTGCCTGGGCAGCAAAAAAAACCTGCAGAGATGGATCATCAGGAAAGAATTAATAATTTAGGAAAGTTAAGCTCTGCATCGAAGTTGAGATAATTTAGGACCAAACCCTGTGCTTTACCCTTACCATTTTAGCTTTGAAGATGTGGGACATCCTGATGTAGCCTTTGTTTCTGTGTCGAAGGTACCAGTAATAGAAGGGAAAACAGATCCAAAGATAGGCACAAGGGATCCAGGCAATGATGGAGCTCTCGAAGCACCAGGTCCCTCCTGGGATGTTTGTATGCCATGTCTGGTTCCAGTCCTGAAACAATGCAGAAGTGAAGGACATGATGCAGAGCAAGGCTGGGGACAGGAGTCTCATGACAGAAAGAGGAAGGAGATAATGACTCGCAAACTATTAGGGGAGTTCATCAGCCTTGGGGATGGAAACCCACGCGAGTCCGGACTGATGGACTCACTAGAGCCCTTTCAGAGGTATCTCTGTAGTGGGTCCGGGCTGGGTCCTCACTCGCAGCTCAGCACATTTACTGCAGCTGAGCGGTCTGTTCGGCCGTGGGGCGAACACCGTCCCGGGGAGGCAAAGTCCGCTCCGCAGCCGCCCTGACGGAAACACGGCCGCCCTCATGGCGGAGCGTGGGCCCTCCCTCAGTGCCGCACCCGCTCCGGCCCCGCGGGGCTCGGGGGCCGCCCGGTGCCGCGGCCGCATCCCTTCATCCCCTCATCCCTTCAGCCCTTCATCCCTTCATCCCCTCGTCCCTTCATCCCCTCGTCCCTTCATCCCCTCGTCCCCTCATCCCCTCACCGCTCACTCACCCGGGGCGCGGCGGGGCCGTCCCGGGGCCCGCACAGCGCACTGCCCGCACCCATGGGCGCTCCGCCCGGGAGCCTCGGCCCGGGAGCCTCGGCCGGTGCCCGGCAGCGTTTCCTGGCCGGGCAGAGCTCCGGTCCCGCCGGCTGCCCGGAGCCCCGTCCGGCCGCGCTGGGCCCCGTCCCGCTGCGGCCAAAGTCCGGCCACGGCAGCAGCAGCAGCAGCGCTCCCGGAGCCCCCGGGACTGTCGATTGTAGGAGCTCTCTAAGCACAGACACAGAGTGTATTTTAGAAATGATTGTGTTTACTCTTTCCACAAATTCAGCACGCCAAGGGGGTAACACACTGTATTTTTTAATACAGTGAAATTTACATGAACACGCCCACCTAAGACATTCTCCACCTACCTGATGCATATTTATAGAAATGACACATGACTTTACGCAGTGCTTGAAACACAAAGTTGTTTTCTTTATTGAAAATAATTTATTTTGTCGAAGTGACCTAGCACAAGCTACGTCTGCAAGGGGTGCGAAGGGGCAGCCGGGGACGGATAATCCCAGTTGGGGGCATCACTGGGATGGGATCGGAGCCGGGATAGGGATCGGGATCGGGATCGGGGCCGGGATCGGGATCGGGATCGGGATCGGGATCGGGATAGGGATCGGGATCGGGATCGGGGCCGGGATCGGGGCCGGGGCGTGTCCAGCGGGGCGTCCCCGGGCAGCGCCCGGAGCCCTCCGGGCCGGCAGGAGGCGCTGTCGCGGCCCGGCCCGGCCCGGTTCGACCCTTCCGGCAGCGCGGGCTGCGGGCGGTGGCGGCGGTGAGGGGATGCGGCCCCGGGCGGCGGCCGCGCTGCTCTGCGCGCTGTGCTGCGCCCTGGCGCGGGGCTCCGAGGACATCGTCGTGGGCTGCGGCGGCTTCGTCAAGTCCGACGTGGAGATCAACTACTCCCTGATCGAGGTGGGCGCCGCCGGCCCCGGCTGCCTGCCGGGCGTGCCGAGCGCTGCCGCCCGGGCCGCGGTCACAGGCGGCGGTGCAGCTGCGGCTCTTCAGCCTGGCTCTCTGCAGCCTGCTTGCCATGAACCGTGTCCTGCTGCCCCCGGCACGGCTGCTGCTCTGTGTTACAGCACTGGGCTAGAAAGTGCCTGGTTTCAGCGCTCCTCGCCTTTAAAAAAAATATCTTTGTGTCTGTTTTGTTTGTTTCTTTTAGATTAAGTTATATACAAAACATGGTACTCTGAAATACCAGACAGACTGTGCTCCGAACAATGGGTATTTCATGATTCCCCTCTATGACAAGGTAAGGCACAAATACCTGCGCTGTCCCCTGTTGTCCCCGCAACACCCACCCACGAAACACTTGAATCAGGACATCACTTAGTTCAGTTTGAATCAAAGTTTCAACTGTTTCTTTTTGTAAAGCAACGACTTCGTTTCCCAGTGCTAATTACGAAGAGAAAAGCCAGCCACTGTGGCTGCAGTGTTGTTTATTGGAATGACTGCAGCATTGGGAGCCCGAATTCCTGCCAGCAGCTGTGTGCTGTAGCTGTACAAATACTGCACAAAAAGTGCAGGCTCCTACAGAGTATGGATAAAGCTTTCAGATTTTTTACCTGTAGAAATGGAAATAAATACATGTGAGGAGGTGTTTTGGTACGACTGAATTGAAAATAACCTGAATGGTTAATTGCAGATATTGAAAATGTTTTATGGAAATAATGATCCAGGAAACTCAGAATGTATCAAATTTGGTGTCTGCTTAGACTGGAAAGGTGTTTACATTCAAATTAAATTAAATGCAAGCTGCTTTTAGATGGTCAAGGTGTTTGGCTCTTTTAAGGAGCTAGTTAACGTAGGGTTCAGAAGTAGAAACACAAAATGCTTTGGGTTGGAAGGCACCTTTAAAGGTCATCGAGTCCAGCCACCAAATAATTCCTTCCCTTCCCAATCTAAGAATGTAACGTGCTTTCTGATCCTGGTGATTTCATTCTCAGGCCTTTGAGCCTTTCCAGGGGTGAACTTCAGGATATGTGTGGCAGAACACGTGATGCTCTCTGATACAAAGAGGATCCTTGTATTGATTAGTACCCTTTTGGATCAGAGCTTTTAAAAGGATGGGAATTTTGTTATCCCATGTTTGGGCAGAATGGTCGAATATGACCCAGTGGGAATATCAAATGCTGATTTAGAGCCCATCTGTTGGGGCAGGTGGAGGTAGATTTGAACACTTTCTAGCAGTGAGCTGCTTGAGTGTGAGCCAGGTTTGTGCTGGAAGCAGGTTAAACACGGTGATACTTCATTTCTGCTCTTGGCTGGATGTGAGCCCAGCATCCCAGCCTGCCTGGGTAGATATGGCTGCTGCTTTGAACAGTCATAAGCAGGAGGAAAGGAGAATGGTGGGTATTGGTGCACTTGAGTCTTGTGTTCCTCTCTGCAGCATGATGCTTGTGTTCTGACTTTCTTTCTCATTTGTTAGCTAAATTAAATTTAGATCAATGAAGACAGTTATTGCTTTTTATTTTTTAGGGGGATTTCATTCTTAAAATTGAGCCTCCCCTAGGGTGGAGTTTTGGTAAGTGGTTGTATGTCTTCTTACAATAGGACACTGTATCAGTGTGGGACTTATCTCTAACTTGCAGCTGGCAGGGAAAATGGAGCACTTTTCCAAACCTATAAACCATACTGCAAGGTTTAATAACTGACATGTACTTACTGTACCAGGGGATAGTAAAGCTGGGTGGCAGACACTGAAAAAGTAACCCTTGAACTGATTTGAAGGAATGTGGGCTTTTGACAAAAATGGCTGCAGTGGGAGGAGGGAAAAAGGATTTTCAGAATCAGGATTTGGGGATTCTTTGCCTTTGCTGAAGAAAGGCTTCCAGAGCAATGCTTGCCATGCTTGAATGAATACATTTCTGTGGCAGTTGTGTAAAGCTGAAGCAGAGTTTCTTTGTGGTTGCTCTCTCACTAACTATCACGCTGTTTCATCGTTCTTCTCTTCCAGAACCAACCAGTGTAGACATCCATGTGGATGGCATTAATGACATTTGCACAAAGGGAGGTGATATTAACTTTGTGTTCACAGGATTTTCTGTGAATGGAAAGGTTAGTTTCCTTTATTTATTCCACCTTATGCTAATTCAACCTTCATAAAAACATTCAAATTCAGCTCTACATGTTATTTTCATTCATTCATATTTCTGTTTCGTTTTATTTTGACAGGTTCTCAGCAAAGGTCAGACATTAGGTCCTGCTGGAGTTCAGGTTGTACTGAGAAATGCTGGCAGTGACATAAACATACAAGCAACTATTACACAACCTGGAGGAAAGTGAGTGTGGGTGGTGCATACTTAATTCATCTGTTCATTTGCACAAGATCCTTTCAATTCTGCCATATTGACTGGGACTGTAGGAGTTCTGAAGAATTTTTTCTAATATGTGAATAGACTCTGAATTGTTTTTCTGTGAACAGATGTTTGTGGCTGTTTCTGAAGAGACATAATCCCTTTCTTGTCTTGCAGGTTTGCTTTCTTTAAAGTTCTTCCTGGCGAGTATGAAATCTTTGCATCGCATCCTACCTGGATGTTGAAAGAGGTTAGAACCTACAGAAGTTCTGGTTTACCTGGTTAGAGAGGATGGATCTGCCAGACCTTGTCTGGATCAGTTAGTGTGAAGAAGGGGCTTTGTGGGTAGACAGGGTTACTGGAGTTTTTCTACATCTAATTCAGGTAGTCAAGAAACAGCCTCGTACAGACCCAGTTTGGAGATAGTGAAGCCAGCCAGGGAAGGACAAAATGAGCTTTTGCTTTTGCTTTCCATCTTCTATCCCATACGTTTTGCAAGAATATTGCAGCTCAAATCCTTCCCTCCCAGACTGGTTGTTTTTTGAGGAGCTCTGATATCCTGACCATTGCCTAAATCAGTGAAGCAGGAAACATAATGTTTTAGAAAGTAACTTTGCTTTAGTGTCTTGAGTAGCCTGGAGACCCTCTGAGTTCTGCTGCTCTGGCTTCTGTTGCTCTTGTTGAACGTGTATTCTCTGATTGTTTTTAGGTGCTGAAATGAGACCTGATGCCTGCTTTTGATGAAGATGTTTCTTTCTGTGTTTCAGTCGAAGACAGTGGTGCGGGTGACAAGTTCCAATGCTTATGCTGCCAGCCCCCTGATTGTTGCAGGCTACAATGTCTCTGGGTCTGTGAGGAGTGATGGAGAACCCATGAAAGGGGTCATGTTTCTTCTTTTCTCTTCTTCAGTCTCTAAAGAGGTAATGGTTGATCAGTACCTTTTCAATATGAGTATGGCTGTAAATAAGAAGAACCAAATAGTTTCTAGATTCATATTGCCCTGATACTAATCTGTCCTTCACTGGCTTGTACAATCCCTTAAACTGTATTTTTGTGTTGGGTTCTTTTGTGTGATTTTTTTTTTTGTTTTCTCTGACAAGGCCCTTGTAATCTGACATGACCTCCATGGAATTATTTCATAATTCATTGTACAGTAGCTGTAATTTGTCTTCAGCATGACATCTTTATTACTCTTTGCCCTTTCGATGGGAAGACAAAGTTCCACAGCTTCTATTGCCACCTTACAAATGCATTAAGAAATGAGTGTGAAACATTTGGTCATGTAGAGCTGAGCTCTGTTCTGCAATGTTAACCCTGTCCACAGAACTGAAGTCAGTAAAGACACATGGTACAGTTTTGGGAATGTTGAATTTCCCAGTGTTCTCTTCTTGTTACCATAAAGTTGATTATTTGCTGTTTTCCCCTATTTTACCTATACATGAATTTTAAGCCATGTCATCAAATTTTGCCTCTAAAATGATTTTATACTTCCCATCAGTCATTCACAGTTGCGTATTTTGAACCCTCCTGTATCTCTCTTCCCCCCCAATTACTTTCATTGTTCTTCTTTGAGACAAAAAGTTGTATTGCATTTATTACTACAGGATGTTGTGGGCTGCAGTATTTCTCCTGTAGATGGGTTCCAATCAAGAGATGAGTCTTTATCCTATTTATGCAATGTTGTATCAAAAGAAGATGGATCTTTCAGCTTTCTTTCTCTGCCAAGTGGGAAATACACTGTGGTAAGTGACTAGAAATTCATTGCTTTTCTATTGAGTTGGTTGTTAACTTTCATTTTCTAAACCAGAGTATGCTACTGCCACCTCCTCTCCTTTAAGCTGTTTCCTTTTTTTCCCAATCTCTTTCTTACATCTGGATGTTGTGGGAGCATGTTCTCTATGCACTGCCTGGAGTGATGGTCCTGCATTCTCAGTCTGTGCTCTACAATGGGATTCAGGCTTCTTCTTCCTTTAATCCTTCTAGCAATCAGTCTT